ATATATGTACAATACATTTTATTTACATATTTCTTTATAGTTTGTCTGCCGCAATAGAACCAAGCCATCATAAAGTCAGAGATATTGGTCTGTTTCACTGTCTACTGCCACGTCAGAGTTGAGATCTATGCCTGGTAGGCGTTGAACAAACTATCCTGAATGAATGACTAAATCCTCAATCACATTCTTGGAGTACAGGAATCTGCCTTTCACAAAAACCTGTGATTCTCTAACCAATTTTGCAATTGCTATCTCTTATTGTATTCAGAGACATACATTTTCAATTTCTTTCACTCATTATATAAATTATTTGGCTCATGGGTCTTACACAACTTCTTAGAGCCCAAAGCTACACAATTTTGTTTATTTGACATATTTTATATACATATATGTTTCTGGTGTGTAGTATAATGATTTGATACATGTATACAATGTGTAGCGGTTAAATCAGGATGATTATCATTCCATCTCCTCAAACATTTATTATTTTTATGTGCTGGGAACCTCTGGATTTTTCTGCAGCTAATCTGAAATATATTATAAATTGCTGCACACTACAGCTACCCTTGTGCTATAGAATACGAGAATGAATTCCTCCCAGTTACATAATTTATAACAGAAATTAAAATCAACAGGAGTAACCTGCATAAGGATACTTGCACAAATTTACACAATCACAGAAAGAAGTAACGCATACCTGGGTGTGTGATTACAAAGTCAACTGTTTTTTATTTCACTGTGCTCACACCTCCTGCTACACATGCCACATGTGTGATTTTTCTCTCAATTACATTTTACAGCTTATAAAAACACTTTCTTCATTTTGTCCCTTGAAAAACAGAGTATTCAGATTTTACTGGATGTTTTTATTGAAACAAAACCCAAGGGGGCTATATTACACTGTTTAACACAGCTGAAGAGATATCTGAGAATGGGCTTTGTGATAGAAGGCCAGATTACAAAATTACTCACAGCTCTTGATCTGATAACAGGAGCAGAATGCCCCACACATATGAATGAAGCCTTTTCTTGGAATGCCTTACTACAAGAAGATAAAGAGAGAACTGGAGAGAGAAGGTGAGAAAAACGCCTGGGACTAGAAATGTTACATTCATTTTTTATCACTAATTTAAGATCCCTACCTCTCCCTCAGTGGAAAATGCCTCTTTGTAGTCTTTAAGCTTCACAGGCACTGGGGAGAGGTGCATGGTGCTGGAGAGAAGGCTGGAGCCAGGTTCAAGCTCACAGTTTCCCAGTCTGTAACATGGGATTTCAAAGATAGTTCTACCAGCCTTGTCCAGCTTGTAAATCTGTAGTAGCATCAGAGAGATGGCATACACAGAAGCAATCTCAAAATATTAAGGTCTTTAAGTTGTACTCTTTTGATTTAAAATAAAAATTCCATTATTTAATAGCAAAAGGGGAGATTTCTCAAGTTGTCTTTCTTGCGGGATATCCTCTGAATAATTATGAATTTGGTTCCATTTTGTATGTGTGACACTTGTCTGCATATCAAGACTTTAAACTCTTCAAGGATAAAGTTCATTTCTTCTTTTTTAAAGTAAAAGTTTTGTTACCACCTGGCACCCATGATGCTCAATGCTGAATTCTTAGTTATTTTAGGTGAAGCCCACATGGGTCAAGCTTGGTAAGTTAGGGACCACCGGGAACACAAAATCAAAATAACCCTAAGCTGACACGAGTCAGTGTGCCTACCACTGAGTCCTCACAGGTGACTTGATTTTGCACTGAGCAAAGCCCAGGAAGAAACTCTGCCCTGAGGGCTGTGTGTCAAGCACACCTGTTTCAACATACGCCTGCCAGGAAAAGGAGATTGCCTTCCTAGCCCAGGAGCTTCGGCATGTATTTTCTCCCCTTGAGGGAGTGTGACTGGGAAAGTGGGTATCCCATGAACAAATACAGCTCACCAAGGAAAATCTTAGGGAAGGGAAAAAGAGTACACAGCTCTGGGCAGATTCAGTGAGCCTCATTCCAATGAAGAAACTAGGAAACTGATTTGGAAAAATGAGGGCACAGAAGGCTTGGAAGCAGCTCTGACCCAGCCAAAGAAGGGCTAAGGAGCAAGGGGCACGGAAGGGAGGAACCGCATGTAAGGAGCTGTGCCTCTTCAGGAGTAACCTCTAAGCCTGGGTGCAACCACTTAGACAAAGTGTATGTCCTGAGAAGTGCGTGGCCCTTTTGAGTTACTCTTTTTTTTCCCCTAGATGGCCACATTTGAAAAAAAAAAAAAAAAAAAAACTTATTTGAGGCTACTATATAGGTCTGCAATAAGACTAATGCTATTTTGAACTATTCTTTTTAGCAAGCTAAGGGCATTGATTTTTGAAGTGTATTTCTTAGTCTAGACTTCATTAAAACAAATTTCTAAAAAATTTTCAAGATTAATGTTGGGCACATGTTCACATAGGCTTAAAAGGAATTTATAAATGAGGGGTCTTCTGTGTAGAAAAGTGTCATTTATCTTATTGTGAAGGTTAAAAGTAGTGAAAACACCAGTTATGAGCTTTCCTATCGACTGGCTATGGTTAACCTGGCACATTTTCATCAGATAAACCTTATCCACTAACTCTGAAAGCACGTAGAACCCACCCCCACCCCCAAGACGTATCAGGGACAAAGCAATCTTTGAAAAAGCAGTCATTGGCAGAACACCCTCTTTATGCCATAAGTTCCATCATGTTAAAAGCAAAATATATTTAAGTAATGCAGGCTTATGCACTGTTCAGTTTGAAAACTGAACAGAATTTTCTAAACACCAGTATATTTTACAGGCAATCAGACATATTTTCAGTACTACAGAAATTTCTTATGAATGATATAAATTTCACCCGTGTTATTTGGGCAGGTCAAAAAGAATGAATTCTGAATCCAGCACAGACTTGCAATGGTTGGACCAGTACCTTACTTCTGTTCCACTATGGAAGTTAATATGTTCAAAACAAAGCCCAGCTAAAAAGGAAAGCCATATACCTGTAAATAACCCAAACACCACTTAACACTGCTTACATAAAAGCACCATTTATGTCCCAGCAGCACAGAAAAACATGATGTACCTCATTTTCAGATCATCCTAATGCAGAAAAAATTCATTAGTCAGCTATAATAGTCTAGCTGTAAAGGCAAATAATGTTTTTCTGAATCCATTTGCATGGCAATGTGCATGTGTCTGGCTGATGGAAGTGACAGAAGAAACCTCCACCCAGTGCTACAAAATGTGAACAATCTTAAAATTCAGGAGAGGGTCCAGACGGTTCATACTCTCTCCCCGTCAGATTTTACAATCCTCTCACATTCATCGAGCATCTTAACCTGGCAATTAAAGTATCTTGATTATTTTGCCTAAGAGAGTTGACAATATTTCATTCTGCTTGAGGGCTCCTTTGAACATAAAACTGTGATAAGGTAAAATACACGGGGCAGCTAGCTATTCATGCGGGAGCCACTGGAACCCTCTCCAAGTGCCAAATTAGCAGATGCCTCTTTTAAAACACAAAAGGTGAGACCATTCTTGGGAGTAAATTCTGCCCAGGCGATAGTCCGGAAAGTACTTTCCCCGGTGCTTTAATGATTGGGTCAGCACCAGCACTAGCCAGACTGCTGACCTCTGGTTAGTTATAATCTATTTCACCTATTAAGACAGATGTCCTCCACCAGAGCCCCAGCAAAAAAAAAAAAAAAAAAAGACAAGGTACGCCGAAAATGATGGATCACAAGCCCCGTGTCTGTCAGCAATGAGGAATTCAGAAGTCCCACCAACACCTGCCCCGGGGAAGGGCCACCCCCCATCCCCCACCCCAACAATACAGAGAAAAGCAGGCTTGGGAATAAGGAAATGGCTTGGTTCAAGCCTCGCAAGCTGCATCACCCGGGTACACGGTGACCGGCTCCCTTTTGAAAGGGCTGAATCAGACCCCAGCCTTGAAACTTGCGGGGCCCTCCCAGTCGGGCAGCACCCACTGCCCGGGCGCCCCGTAGCCCCTGAGTCACACAGGTGGCGGTCAACAACAACCCCACCAGACGCCAAGCCCCAGTCCGTTCCACCGCCCCGCGGGCCACTCCCTTCAGTTTCTGAAGCCCCGTAACTCTCGCCCACCTCCGTGGTCTTGCCCACCGGAACACCAGTGTTAGGGGAACAAAGAAAGCAGAAGCGCTGGGGCCAAGGGTGGGGTGCGGGTTATAGTTTTACCTTGCGGTGCCCAGGAACCAGCCGAGGAGAAGTCGGCGGCGCGGGGAGCGACCCGCGCGCTCCGCGCCTCCCCTCCTGCCTGCAGCGAGTCAGCTGTCGCCCCGCATCTGGCTCGCGCCCTCCGCCCGGCTCCGCATCTGGTCACAAAGCGCTCCGAGGCGCTGCGGGCGGCGAGGGCCTCCGGGTCACCTGCGGCCGGGCCGAGCCCAGCCCAGCCGAGCGCCCCGCCCGCCTGCCCGCGGAGTGCGCTCCCTCCGCCCCTTCGCACCCGCGCGCTGCCCCGGCCGTGACTCAGCCGGGTACCGGCGCGCGCGCCCCGGGCGCGTCCAGGCGGGGGGCAGCGGGAGGCGGCCGGACCCAGGCGCTGGCCCGCGCGCCCGCCTCAGCACGTGTCTGTCCGTCCGCGTCGCCCGCTGCCCGCCGGCAGAGGACCGCTGAGGTGGGGAGTGGCACCACCCAGAGAGGGAAATTGGCCCTCGCCCTTCCTGCCGCCCGCGCGCCGCGCCTGGCCCCGCGGGGGTCGCGTTTCCTCCGCCCCGCCCCCGCCCTCGACAAGGTGAAACTTTCTAGGTGGCGAAGTTTCGTCGCCCCGGCTGCGCGCTGTCTCTCCTGCCCTGGCTGTGGCGCTCCGAACTTTGCACAGCCGCAGAGGAGCGGGACCGAGTCTCCCCCTCCTGGCGCTCGCGGGCCGCGGGCCGCCGGGCGCGCACACTCGGCGTACCCCGCGCGGGCCGCGGGCAGCGCACGCGGCTCGGCGCTCAGCCTCCCCCACGCCCGCGGCGAGCGAGCGCGAAGCACCGCAGAAACAAGGCGCTCATTGTCAGAGACGGTGGTAGGAGTGGACGGACGAATTGTCCCAATGATTTCGTTACGCAACGATTATCCTCTCCTAGAATAACCCGAGTTTCCGCAAGGAAGAACAGAGGAGTGTAACCCTGAGGAGACTTCAGGTTGTTTAAATTTTTTTTTTTTTATAACCGGAAGCAGGATAATTAACCAAGCAAAAGCAGAAGAAAAGTTTTAATTCTTGTTTGTTGAAATCTTATTTAAAAAAAATGTTGAGACCCTGGTGAATTGTTGAGGGGGTAATTTATTAGGAATTATGAGGGCTCACTAATTAGTATTTTTAAAGTATTTCGCATATAAAAATTGATACGGACCTTTTCGTAAGTAAGAGCATAAAGGTAATAGGGTCTAAGGAACCGCGTCGAGTTCTTTACAGCTCCGAGAAGGGCCTATTCAATAAACGGCAATATATTATCAGACATGGATCTGTTAATACTTGACAGTCATGGGACAAGATAGCAGTCAATCTGCAGATACTATTTACTACAGAATGAAAAATGGAAAAATATGGTAGGAATAGTTGTTTTCCGAGAGCTTACTATGGGCCAGGCATTTCACCAGAAACAACACAGAGCAAGTTCAGTCCTTAAAGGTGGTCACCTCATGATTCTCCACTGTAATTGGAAAGGAAAGCCCCAGTGACATTATTAGGTTTCAGCACTAAACCATTTGGCAGATGAAGAAACTGAGTCCCTAAGAGTCCCTAGAAGGGTCACGCAGCTGGCTAGTAAAAGGCGAAGCTGGAACCCAGCTCTTAAGTGCTGGTCAGGTGTTTTCCACAGCAGTCCTCAAGGCCTTACTCAGCCAGGCGCGCCCAACTAAACACAGCCCACATGGCATGATTTAATAATGGCTACAGTTCATACTGAAATGCTGATTTGCTGGTGGTAGGGTCCTGGGCCTATTTATGGACAGATCAATTAGAGATTTGGAGTCCAGTAACAGCTTTCAATAAAAGGTGCCTAAGTGGATTTACACACATACACACACACACACATTCACACACTTAGCCACAGTTGTCTAAAGGAATAATTAGAGTGCTGTTTCTATTTCCTGGTTTCCATAGCAATATGTTAACTGGATTTTTACATCGAATTATGTAGTTGCCTTAACAGGTTTTCTGAGTTTGAGTGCTGTGACAAAAATATAAAAGAAAAAAAATTACAATTAAAGTTGTAGAAAGACCCAGAAAAGCCAATGCAAACTGGAAAATCAAATAGATTATAAATGCAAACAATCTATTCTATATTTTTAGAACTGAAGTTTTCTAAGTTTCTTGTGGCTGAAACATTTCAATCCAGTTTACACACTATTGAAAATTGCTGTTTTGATTTATTAATTGTAAAAAGCTAATATTTTATAAAGGCTAAGAATAGCATAATTAAAAGTCTGAGTTTGGGCAAATGTTGGGGTGCAGTGGGTTAGGCTGACCCTTGGGACAGCAGCATCCCACATTGGAGAGCCTGATTTTAGTGCTGTCTACTCTACTTTTGGTCCACCTTCCTGCTGGTACATCCTGGGACGTGGTGGATGATGGCCCAAGTACTTGGGCCACTGCTGGCAGACCAAGATGGGGTTTTGCCTTTGACCTGACCGATGTGTGGCTGTTTCAGGCATTAACTAGCAGACAGAAGATTTTCCTCTTTCTCTGTCATTCTGCCTTTCAAATATTGAATGAGAGCAAATAAATAATAAAATTTTTTTAAAGTATCTGAGTTTGTGGATGTCTAATAATGTTTACACACTGTCTAAATAGATTTGATCCAAAAAAGGGTTAGAGGTAATTTCACATTTTTTAAAGATATGGATGGAAACAGACATTAAAAACTGTAATAGGGCTCTAGAATTCTATTTTGGTTTTGCAGCAAACCTGTTGCTGTTAACTTTCCTTGGGTGGAGAAAGGTTAACTTGTATGATGAAGTTCTGTTGGTATTTTCCTAACCAAACCAAACCACTGTGGCTGTCACTGTTGGCTGGCTAACCCAGCACCTGTTCCCAACCAGATTTTCCCTTCTCTGCCTGCTCTCTTGGGGCTGGAAAACAGAAATATTTGCTTTCCCAGACTCCTTTGCAGCCAGGCATGGGCATGTGATGTAATTCTGGAAAGAAGGTGTGAACTGAACTCTGATGGGGCTTTCAGGGAAAGGGTTTAGTTCCTAACAGGCAGTGCCTAGGAAGTTAATGCCACCCTTTCCCTTTTTGGTGGATTTTGATCTCAGCTCCGCCTCTTGCTAGCTATGTCACTACCTGCCAGTGGCTTAAACGTGGCATCTCATCTGTAAAATGGGATAATAGTCATTGAGGCTGCTGTTATGGAATAATGAGTTAAGCTGCTGCCTATGACTCTTGTATCCCCCATGGATGTGGGTTTGAGACCGGGCTTTTCTGCTTCCCAGCCAACTCCCTGCTAAGGGCCCAGAAAAGCAGCAGAAGATGGCCCAAGTGCTTGGGCCCCTGCACCTAAGTGGGAGATCCAGAAGAAACTCCTGGCTCCTGATTTCAGCCTGGCATCACCCCAGCCATTGTGGCCATTTGAGGAGTGAACCAGCAGATGGAAGATGTCGTTCCCCGTCTTCGTGGAGGAACGACACAGGACCCTGCGCTGTTCTTTTGTCTGCTCGGCCCTCCCCGGGTTTGCTGCTGGTTCTTCCCGGGTTGGCTACCGACCCTTCCACCTCCGTGGAAGGGCGGTTCCCCCTGCCACTTTCCCCACTTCCGCGGGGGAGCGGCATACCGCCGGCCGGCTCTCTCGGGGGCTGCACAGGTGTTCCCACAGGTGTCCCCTCAGGTGTTCCTTCAGATAGATGTTCCTGGTGCATGTTGTCTCTCTCCTCCTTTATAGTCCTCTTCCACCAATCCCAACTCTGCTACCCACACGCCGAGTACACTGCTCTCCTCCAATCAGGAGCAGGTCCTGCTGTTTATTGGTTGAACTGGAGGCAGCGGTGTAGAAGCTGTTTCCTCCTCTCCCAGCGCCATATTGTGGGAGAGCAGCTGCATAGAATAAGTCTTAATTCCAGTAACTTAGTCTAGTCCGAGTTGCTCCCAGTTGCTCCCCACGGGAAGATCGATCTCTCTCTCTCTCTCTCTCTCCCTCTCTCTTCCTTTTTCTCTCTGCCTCTGCCTCTCTGTAACTCTGCCTTTCAAATAAATTATACGTCTTTAATTAAAAATAGTAATTGCGAGGATTAAATGATTAAAGTGCATGGAATAATGTCTAGTAACATGTAAGTGGTCAAAAGGCATGAGCTATCCTTCCTACACACTGGTGAGTAACACACAGTGTTAAACTACAAACAGGATTCCTGGTACTAACTTTGAGATGGGTCTAATGGTAGTTGTGGTCAAGAGAGAGAAACAGCCACCTGCTGCCCTAGACAGGTCACTTCCTTTCTGCTCTCCCTTCCATGCAATTAAAATTTGGATCTTTGAAGGTACTCTGTAAACTTGTTTTCACGGTACTGTCTTTGAAATAAAAGCCATCTTCTTAGAATAGGTGCCAGCAGCTGGGGTGAGTAGGGCCCACCACAGACATACATGGGCCTATAAAGTATTTTTGAAGCATGGGAATCGTGGTAGGTAGAACATGGGTTCTACGATTTGTCATCAGCCTATATCTTCTCTTGCGTCGTTTCCAACTCACTTCTGCTCTTGACATCACTGTCTCCTGAAGGCAGCAGGGCTTGTAAGCATTACCTTAAGTTTTTCATTCCCTAATATACCTGTTATTGTGCCTACAGAAAGTGTCTCCACAAAAAGCCAGTAGAATAATTCAGGTGATGATTGCTTATGTCATTTCTGTGGGCAGTCAGAATTTGGAAATGTGGGATTCCTATGAGCTTTGTAGAAATATGTTAAGCACCTTAGAATTGCAAATTTTCTGGGGCCAGTGCTGTGAAACAATGTGTTAAGTCACCGCTTGCAGCGCTGGAATCCCATATGGGCGCTGGTTCATGTCTCAGCTGCTCCACTTCCAATCTAGTTCCCTGGTAAAGTGCCTGGGAAAGCAGCAGAAGATGTCCCAAGTACTTCGGCCCCTGCACACATGTGGGAGACCAGGATGAAGCTCCTGGCTTCTGCCTGGACCAGCCCTGGTTGTTGCAGCCACTGGGGAATGAATTAGTGGATGGAAAAATCTCTCTCTCTCTCTCTTTCTCTCTGCCTCTGCCTCTCTCTATATATAACTCTGCCTTTCAAATAAATAAATAAATCTTTATAAAAAAAAAAGAATCACAGGCCAGTGCTGCGGCTCAATAGGCTAATCCTCCGCCTGCGGCGCCGGCACACCGGGTTCTAGTCCTGGTCAGGGCGCCAGATTCTGTACCGGTCGCTCCTCTTTCAGTCCAGCTCTCTGCTGTGGCCCGGGAGTGCAGTGGAGGATGGCCCAAGTGCTTGGGCTCTGCACCTGCATGGGAGACCAGGAGAAGCACCTGGCTCCTGCCTTCAGATCAGCACAGTGCACCGGCCACAGCGGCCATTGAGAGGTGAACCAATGGCAAAGGAAGACCTTTCTCTCTCTCTCTCTCACTGTCCACTCTGCCTGTCCAAAAAAAAAAAAAAAAAAAAATCACAAAATTTTGAAAATGCACGTAAAAGAACAAACTAAAAACAAACCCTTCTTAACTTCACTTACCTTACCATTTCCCAAACTTAATTATCCATGGAATGCTTTTCTCCCCCTCTTAACATCTTCAGTGCCAATTTCTTACAATTTTATAGACGCCACACTTTAGGAAACCTTGCCTTCAAGAATGGAAATGCCAGCCACCAAGGGTCAGGCATTTGTAACAAGAGCTGCTTTTATGTTGATTGGTATTGGTCATTTGCTTGTGGTTGAGCGCTCTAAAAATAAATACTCAATGTTAAAATATCTAAAAATATGACTGAGCATATTCAGTATTGAGGAGAAGTACAAGACTGCTAGGCTACAAGCTACAAGTATCATAATTTTAATCAGAGACCTAGCAAACCGTGGGGAGGAAATTAAAGGTAAATTACCATCTCCTACAGGGTGCTGCAATTTTGTTAGTGATTTGGTCCATTTTCACATCTACCTTATTGCCTCTCTCCTAAAATCAGGCAAAGGCTTCCTCTATTTAGGTCTCATTTACTAAATGTCTGCCATTGTCCATCATGTGTTTGGATTTCTGCTTATGACTTCATAATAAATCCAGAATAGGGGATTGGTGCTGTGGCATAGCTGATTAAGCTACTGCTATGACACCAACATTCCGTATGGGAACACCAGTTCGGGTCCAGACTGCTCTGCTTCTGATCCAGCTACCTACGAATGTGCCTGGGAAGGAGGCTGAAGATGGTACAAGTACCCATGTAGGAGACCAGCATAGAGATCTGTCTCCTTGCTTCAGCCTGAACCCAGCCTGGCTGTTGGAGCCATTTAGGGAGTGATCCAGCTGATGGAGGATCTCTTTCTGTCTCTCCATCTCTCTCTGTAGCTTTGCCTTTCAAATAAATAAATAAATCCTAAAAAGAAAAATCTAGAATAGGTATCATTCTCTTGAAAAAAAGGCTCAAAGAGATCATGTAACTTATCCAAGGTCACACAGCTGGCCTATCTTCAGAAAAACTGCACATCTTATTACCAGTGATTATAAACTGCCTCTGTCCTATGATGAATGAGGTAGTCACTTAAGCTGCTCTGTTGGAGCAGAAGAATTTAAGGCTTTCTCTCATTTTCCTTTCTTCTCTCTCTGCAGAGTCAACTACAGCTTAAAGAATGGCCACCCCCCTCTGCTTGCTTGATCCTTGGGGACTGATACCTGCTACATTGCCTGTAAGTAAAACATTGCACATGTAGAAGCAAGGGTCCTGGGCAGTTAGGGTGGCCCAGATGGTGGGCTGGAAGAACACAGGGCCAAGACGTCTGGGATGTGAAGAGGACCCAGGATGCTTGCTTCTGTATTTCTGTCTTCACAACCTTTGTGCTCTCCTTTGGAGACCTAGGGAATGTGATAGAAAAGGAAAAGCACTAGATGACAGAGTCAGATTCCTGAGAGGGGCCGCTGGAACAGTCAGTGTCTTCAGAAGATGAGGAATGAAGAGAGAGAAGAGAGAGGATTCTGCCATCCCCAGATGGCCACAATGGCAGGAACTGTGCTGACCCAAAGGCATGAGACAGGAGCTTTTTCCAGTCTCCCACACGGGTGCAGGCGCCCAAGGACTTGGGCCATCTTCTACTGCTTTCCCAGGCCATAGCAGAGAGCTGGGTAAAAAGTGGAGTAGCCAGGATTTGAACCAATGCCCACGTGGGATGCCAGCACTGCAGGTGTGGGGAGCAATCCGGACTAGACTAAGTTACTCGAATTAAGACTTATTCTATGCATCTGCTCTCCCACAATGTGGCGTTGGGAAAGAAGTAAACAGCTTCCGCACAGCTGCCTCCAGTTCAACTGATAAACTGTAGGACTTGCTCCTGATTGGAGGAGAGCAGCGTACTCGGCGTGTGGGCAGCAGAGTTAGGATTGGCAGAGGAGGACTATAAAGGAGGAGAGAGACGGCATGCACCAGGAACATCTATGGGGAACATCTAGCTGAAGGAACACCTGTGCAGCCCCCGAGAAGAGCCGGCCGGCGGTGTGCCGCTCCCCTGCGGAAGTGGGGAATGTGGCCAGGGGGAACTGCCCTTCCACGGAGGTGGAAGGGATAGTAGCCAACCCGGGAAGAACCAGCAGCAAACCCGGGGAGGGCCGAGCAGACAAAAGAACAGCGCAGGGTCCTGTGTTGCTCCTCCACGAAGAGGGGGAGCGACAGCAGGTGGTGGCTTCACCCGCTATGCCACAGCACCAACCCCAGCCTTACCCATTTATTCTCCCAGTCCCTTCCTCCCTCCCTCCCTCCCTGTTCTTCCCTTTCATTCCTTACTCCTTCCTTTGCCTACCCTTCCTAATCTTCTTTTTCTGTTTTTTTTTTCTTTTCTTTTCTTTTTTTTTTTTTACCTTGTGGTAAAGTGGTGAAGGCATTTTGAGGGAGAAATTTCATTTTTTTATACAGCAAAGTATAGCCTTATTTCCCAATTAGCTTATCCATTTCATTGGTTAATTTAAACTTGGGCAAATGGATTAGCCTATCTTGGGAAAGAATGCAGCCATGAAAATCAATGTGTTTCCTACATTGATCAGCATTTGTTTATGGATAGCCTTTAAAAAAAAGCATCCATGAAAGCATGTAATGACTACCATTGCACATCTTACTGCTGACTCAATAGGTACTTTGGCTCTTGATCCCTGTCAATCAGAGTCCTCATCTACAAAAATAATTCTAAAGTCTGTTGAAAATGATTTGAAAATATTAAGTATCACCTGAAATTTGGCTGAAACAAGTCTATTTAGAGCAATTATATCAAACAGACCTCACAGAGAAAGAAAAATTTCACTGTTTGGATCTTACTAATCACTGCCTTGTCCAAATACGATAAAAATATTTTTTAAAAAGATTTATTTATTTGAAAGGCAGAGTGAGAGCAAGAGAGAGCAAGCGAGCTCTTCCATCTGGTTCACTCCACAAATGGCTACAATAACTAAGGCTGGGCTGGCCTGAAGCTAGGAGCCTGGAACTCCATCCTGGTCTCCCACATGGGTGACAGGGCCCCAAGTACTTGGGCCATCTTCTCCTGCCTTCCTAGGTGCTGTGGCAGGGAACTGGATGGAAAGCTGAGCAGCTGGGAAATGGGCTCTCTGATATGGGATGCCAGTGTCCCAAGTGGCAGCTTAACCCACTATACCACAACTCTGGCTTCAATAAAAATTTTTTTCTACTTCAATGTGAATGATTTAATAATCACCTCAAGTATATGTGTTTGGTGAGTTCAAAGTAAATTATGCTGTTAAAAATGGCCACAAAACAATATTTTGGGGGGACTATATAGGTCCTTGTGGCATAGAAAAATCATAGAATGTTTGAAAGGTTTGGTTAGTATCCCTGAAACTATTACATTTTAATAAATTCTAAAATATAATAAAGATGCTTATATTAAAACAGTTTGCAACACTTTTTCATTGGCCAGAGTTCAAGCTTTAACAACCTGAGTATCTAAGCATAATTACTATTAATGCATGTTTAAAACACATACAAGAAATGGCAGTAACTCTGGATTAACCTTGGTTTGTTGTTGAAGAATTTAAAAAATAAGAGCACAAACTGTGACCAAAGGTCATGCTCAGAAAGCTAGCAGTGATGCAAACTGCTTAGGACTTCCAGCTCATTGGCCTATTATAAACATTCCCACTTTACAAGAGCCAGCAAAATCCAACCAAACTACCCTCCGGAGGCCAATGCAACCAACCTGTAGACAAAACTGTCAGATCTGATCAAATTATTGCAAACTTTCATGCTTATACTGAAGGAACTTTCAAGGAATGTATAACCTGAATTACAAAAGACATCTTTTTAAAGCTTCCCCTGAAATGTCTGGTCATCTGTTTTGGTCTGAGTTCCCTGCACTAGGGCAGTTATCAAGCACTGTTGGCCCTCCCATAGCTACTGTTAACACATGGATTTGTCACTCTAAAGTTAAGAAAAACCAGATGTTCCCTTTGTTGTTCTGTATTCTATGGCAGATCAAAAGTATGTTTAAACAGCACCAGTGAAGTTGAGATTTAGAAATAATCTTATTAATCTGATCAATGATGTCATATGATTTAGAGCCGTTTCAAGATTTAGACTGAATTTCAATATTTGGCCTACATTTATTGGATTACCTCCAAATAAATCAATTTTTGTATATATAGACCTATATTTTATGGGAATCATAATTTGTGTGGAAGCAACTATAAACATGGAATAAAATATTTAAACATGTCAGATCTCATAATACATCAATTAATTTTTTTAAACAAATGTTTATTGAGTCCCTACCATGTGCCAGGGAAGTGTTCATGTTTTGCGCTACAAAAATGAATGAGCTATGATCTGGAACTTGAAGAGCTCACAATCCAGTAGGGAAAACCAGCATTTAAGCCAGCAGATCCAGGACAACAAATCAAGTGCTGTCCACTCTTTGTGTTACCGGGAGTCTGGTCCTTGTCTACGGTGCTGAATCAGAATAACAAGGGCAAGGTTTGAAGATAAAGGCAAGAGAAAGTCTAATAATTTCATTGATAAATTAGGAAGATAGCAGACTAATGCCTGAAGAACTACCATCTTTCTGGGTGAGGAGCTTTAGGGTTTCCAGCGAGTTCAGAGAGGATTAGAGGTAGAGAGGTCATCAGTAAACAGCCCATCACCAAGACTGGTTGTAGGTCCGATAACAGGATGTTGTTTAATTAAATATCAAATGTCAGTGCAGTTTCTTGAGAAACATGCTGCAGGGAATTGTGGGCTTGATCTTAACATAGGTGGAATATAACAGCATATTTTGCATGCATGAGTAGCTGCAAAACACTATCTGACTGGAATTTGAAAGAGGCAAAGCATTGTGTTAAGAGACCGTAGTGTTTCATTAACCATAATGAGGCTCACTCACCCTGAAGTCTATGATTAGTCAGGTTTATTGTGCACTTAGTCATCTGCACCCCATTATACCCTACTACATTAGGAAAATGTAGGCCAGCTTCAGGCATCAGAAGAAGGTGAGAAGATGTGGGCTACACTGCAAGAGAGGCCACATTTGAGCCATATCCTAAAAGACAAGCAGGAGTAGGGTTGGCACTGTGGCACACTGGGTTAATCCACAGCCTGCAGCACTGATATCCCATATGGGTGCTGGTTTGAGTCCCATCTGCTCCACTTTCGATTCAAATCCAGGCTAATGTGTCTGGGAAAGCAGTAGAAGATGTCTCAAGTCCTTGGACCTGCATATCCACTTGGGAAGCCCAGAAGAAGCTCCTGGCTCCTGGTTTCGGCCTGGTCAAGCCCAGGTTGTTGTGGCCATTTGGGAAGTGAACCAGTGGATAGAAGATCTTTCTCTCTCTCTCAACTCTGCTTTCAAGTAAATAAATAATTTTTTTAAAAAAGATAAGCAGGAGTTCTCTGGGTGACTGTTGGTAAGGGGACAGAATTGAGGAAGTGAAGTCTTAAAAAATGGAGCAGTCATGAAATAATTATATGTTTATGGTTCTTCGAATAGTTCAGAACAGCTGGGTCACAGTGTTTTGGGGTTAGGGTAGAAGAGGAAGCTGAAACAGTAGGTGAGGGTCAGAATACCTATGAGGGGTCTGGTATATCACACCAAGAAAGAAGATCTATATGGCAGGTGATAAGCAGTCACTACAATAAGTAAAATAATTAGAATTTTACATGTTTGAAACATTACTATGGTTTAATGGAAGGTTGAAAGCAAGGTGAGATTGGAGGCAGGATAGCAAGAGAGAACAGGATTTCTTTTTTTTTTTTTTTAAAGATTTGTTTATTATTTTATTTGAAAGGCAGAGTTAGAGAGAGAGAGAGTGAGAGAGGCAGAGGCAGAAAGAGATTTTCCATCTGCTAGTTCACTCCCCAAATGGCCGTAATGGCCAGAGTTGGGCTGGTCTGAAGCCAGGAGCCAGGAGCTTCTTTGCGTCTCCCATGTTAATGGCAGGGGTCCAAGCACTTTGGCCATCTTCTACTGATTTCCGAGGCACATTAGCAGGGAGCTGGATCAGAAATGGAGCAGCTGAAACTCGAACTAGTGCCCATATGGGATGGCGTTGTTGTAGGTGGTGGCTTTGCATGCTCTGCCACAGTGGCAGCCCGTAGGAGGGGATTTCTTTAATGCGGGAGAGCAATGATGAGACCCTGCTCCATCACACTCTGAAAGTGATCGCTGGGATATGGGGCCAAGAGGAAAGATACACACAC